GTTCTGTGGTCTGCTGGGGTAATAATATAGTGTAAAGCGCATAGAGCCTGCTGATGAGCGGGGATATGCGCTATACAAATGCTATCTATTATTATTATTATTATTATTATATCGAGCTTTTCTTCTCATATAAAAAAAAAACGAAAAAAAAAAAACGAAAAACGAAAAAAGAAAGAAAGAAAGAAAGAACGCCGGAGGAAGGAAAGAGGAGGGGGGAGGGGGCGAGTTCGATGACTGTTCGTGTTTTAAAATATATATAGCTCCATAAATTATCGTTTCTGTATTATATTTATTTGCTACATGCTGTTATCACAGTCTTTTTTTCCCATGAAGATTGGTACAGCCACCTTTTCTGTTTTTCCCTTTGTGAGAGTACCCCGGTGTACGTGTTTTGTATGTGTGAAATGTTGCCAGTGTTGTACATAATTTGTACTTAAAAATATCCTTTTAACTCGGATACAAGTCAAGGTATTTGAGATAGAAGGAGATGGGAGTCGCCTTGTTTCAGAGGCAAAATTAGCGAGAAAATGTCCGCCTTTGAGTTATTTCCTTAGTTTGAGAGTTCGTAGAAACTGAAAATTTACATCTTTTATGCTTTTAATCAACGTTTTAAGTAAAAATCCGCACTGAAATGTGTTCTTAAACTTGCAAGAGAGGTGATGAGCGGAAAAAAAAAATTCGATAAAATTTCCCAAACCTAAAAGCCAGTTTCTTGACTTTAATTATTTTGACGAGCGCCTGATTTCACTACCCTGCCTCGCATTTGTTGGTCTGTAGGTCTGTTGTAACGTATCAAACCCAAGGAGCTCCTTAATCAAACCACACACCATGACGTGTTCCGTATTATGATACCACGCCTTGACCCAGTATCTTTCTTTAGTCAATGGTATATATTATAATAATAATAATATGAACATGTGTTTACGCTGGTAAAGTTGTTTTCATTACTGAAAGCTGCTTACGCTATCACAATGTGTACCTTACTTTAACAACCCTCCTCCCCCTGTTCACTGCTCTCCCTATCTATATCCCTATTTTTTTTTGCCTTTTCAGTGCATCGGGCAACAGCCCCCCCCCCGCCTCCCCCTCCCCAGACTTTTCTTTCTTCGTTGTACATGTATACCAAAGCCTCTTCACAATATTGCGGGCTTCAGTTCCTCAGTGTTTGGGTTTTTTTCACGACCGTAACTTTATATATCTCTTTTCTTACACAATTACATTTTGTATTTAGCCGTGCAAAGCGACATAGAGAGAAAGAGAGAGAGAGAGAAAGAGAGAGAGAATTACAGAGAGAGAGAGTGCGTGTGTTTGTGTGTGTGTGTGTGTGTGTGTGTGTGTGTGTGTGTGTGTGTGTGAGTGTGCGCGTGAGAGACAGAGACAGAGAGAGAGAGAGAGAGAGAGAGAGAGAGATAGAGAGCGATAGAGAGAGGGGAGGTAGGGGATAGAGATAGGGAGAGAGAAATACAGAGAGGGGGCGAGAGAAACATAGAAGGAGAGCAAGAGAGATAGGTAGAAA